GAAATGTGTACAAGAATCAGCACCAGTGCAACAACATCGACGAACTCACTGGTGTTATAAACTCAATATGGATCAACTTGAGCGACTAAGGCATTACTGCAACAAGATCGTCGACTCAATGCACGACCATAGCTTGGAAATGATCCATCGCAATGGCGACAAACACAACATTAACCAACAATCATTTACAGAGAATTTTGTATTGGATTTGTAGATGTGGGTACAAGATTCTCACGTTCTAGAAAGATTTCTTGCATTGGATACTACATCCTCTGTTTTCTATTACTCCCACCATTCCAATAACCTCTATTTTCATGTTAATGCCACCATTTCAAAATGGTTGGACAATGTGAAAGGAACTAAATTTTATTGGTTATAATTCCATTTCCATTCCTCAAGTACTCGTTGCTTGGAGAAGGCTGTTGACAGCAAAGAGAAACAACACAGGGCAAGATAGATTCACCACAAGAGTTTTCGCATGCCTCAAGGCACCCTTCTTCAGATGGGGCAGCTTAAACTGATTGCCATCACCATCGAAAACGGATTGCACAGTCAGGTACACGTTCTCCAGGGTTTTTGCATCGAGCGAGTCGAACGTGATCATTGACGACGCAATCACTCAACAACAGTGCTGCTAAACATCATGTACTGTAGAGTCTGGGGAGATGCAAGGAAGTCAAGGTCAAGAACGTTCGATTCGGGGCTGTTTGGGTGGTGCCGACGGACAACGAAAGTCCACACTTGAGTACTCTTGGACAAGTTCTTCGTCACCGATGGAACTGTGCGGAGTTGCGTTGTTATGTTGCAGGACGACGTGCTTACCCACACATAGGAAATTTCGTCTTTGTCGCGGAAACGACCTTGTTCAGGAGGTAAACAGGGTACGTCAGTGCCGGCAGGCCGATTTCGGGAAGAGCGAACGGGAAGGAGCTTGATTCACGAATGACCACATTCCTATTTTTCCGTCGAACCGTTCTGACGCGGTCAGCAACAACGCACAAGAACATGATGAAATGCCTATGTCTTGCGCTAAGTCCAGCATGTCGCCCCGTAGGTTCCGTGGTACCTCCCGAATGAGTTTGGTAATCTCGGCTACAGTGTAGCAGATCCTTGGAGAGCGTTTTGTGGTCAAAACTCCTGTCCGAAATGCGCCTGCTCTGGACTGTATCCACCCAGGGCACCCTCTGTTTTCATCGATAAGGTGGTACAAGAACGTTTACAGAAGTGGATTTGAAGGAACTACCAGTTGGGATGA